TATATATATATATATATCGGTTACAACAAAATTGAAATCTAATTTTGTTATCTAATAAAATATGACGTAAGACATAATGATTATCTTATAAGAAAGATATATGATAAATATAATGATAGTAACGATTTTTTCGTGAGAATTTCATGAACGTATAATTCGATTCTACACAATATGGATTATTAATTATTTACAAATATACAAGGACGATTTGACGTCTGTAATAATGAGATATATTATTATTACGTAATCAATATAAACTTTTTATGTTCTTAGCGCTTGCATGTAGATGATAATTAACGTTACTAGTTTTAATACAATATGCTCGATGAATAGTGCAATAAATATTCATGAATTTGTCAGAGAATACATTGAGAAGAAAAGTGAATAAAATAATAATTGTACACGCAATAAAGTAATAACTGGAAGTTTATTCGAGGCAGAATATCAGTTATCAGATATTATCACATGTTGAGAAAAGATTTCAGATATAGGCCACGTATCTTCGCAGAGGTGTAAATACTTGACTTATTAATTTAACCAATAATCGATATTTAGCTGTTTATCAAACTCGATCAATCTACAATAAACACATATGTAACAAACGTGATAATAAAATATTGATACGCGTTTCCACCAATGTAGATCAAATTTAATTTTGATTAAACTTATAATCTTCATCTTTTTCTAAAGTTCTAAGAATTAGAAAAAGATAAAGAGTAAGTTGAACAGAGATTAAAGTCACATTATATTGATGAAAACAAGCATAAGTCTATGTGTAGGTGTAATAGCGAAATATACTAATCTTCTTAATGGAAACAGTGATAAAAGCGCGTCACATTGTCGCGTAGAGGGAAAAATGCTGACGTAAATGTATATAGGGTGTCGAAAAAACTTTATAGTAGAATTTTCTGACTGACAGAGTTTTTAGGCGATTAGAGTATAATTTATCAAAGTAATGACATACACATCTCATAACATTACGAACCAAAGTATAATGACAGGTGGAAAGACTCCGGACTGTCGGAGGTGCATTTGTAATCTCCTTCGTGACTCTCAGTCGCTTGAGACGCCGAGAGTTTGCTGCTGCCGGCATCGGTCTTTGAAAAGACAACTAGCTGGCCACTGGACAACTCAGGTTCCAACGTCTGACCATTCCTGGTCCATCTAACGAGATCATCGTCCTTCAAATCGCTGCACTCGATGTTCCAAGATTGTCCCTCGCGCACGATCGTCGGCCCCGTATATTGCACTTTTATTGAAAAAAAAAAAAAACCATTCAAATTTATATACAAATTAAAACTGTGACAAAATAATTTTATTTTTAATTTAATTTTAAATCGATGTATCAATCAAATAAATTTGCAAGTTTTCTTTATAAAATTAGGAATAGCAAACAAAAAATTACTTAATTATCTTAAATTAGAAATAAAAAAAAACAGATCTTTTTACTTTGGAGAAAAACATCAAATAAAAAATGGATTTCTTACTGTAAAACCGTTTCATTAACTATAATAATACAGAATTATAAACAATGTCTAGAATTTATTTTTCTTGATATTCATCGTTATTCGTAAAATTGTTTAATAGATTTAAATAATATCGTTAATAATTGTTTGAACAATAGATATCTTACTCCGATTTTAAAAGCTAATCAAGCAACGGTCCATGCTGTCAACAAATAATACTTCATTAGTAAAATTGACACTGTTTTGTTGTATACTGGTTGTAATTGTATGTATATATTCTAAATTTTAATTATTGAGGCAATGTCCCGACATAATATCTATTCAAAAATAGTTGAAGATATTTCGATGAAAGTTGTCTCTCTAATTTAAATTTAGAATATATATAATTACAATCAATATACAATAAAATTAGCGTTAATTCAATAACAATATGAAACTTTTATTTAACTTTTAAAATCGGAGTACTGTATAAGATATCAAATAATTATAGATAGTAATGTATATCCATGGGGTCACTGTCATTTTAATCATTGTATATATATATACTATATTTTTACTTTTATTGTTTTTATACAAAAATTTTTTTGATGCAACAACTGAATTCTAGAACAATAGTAAAAATCGTCAAATGTTTCAAAAAAATATATCTAGACTCGTATCTAAGTAAAAAATTTTCAGAGCCTAATCTTTTTTTTATTATTTTCATCTCAACCCTAAATCTTTCTTTTATACATTATTTTTATTGAGAAAGAAAATGTTCAAATTTATTTATAAGTCAGGAAAATACGAAGAACTGTGATGATGTAATAATTCTTTTTTTACATTTAATTAAGTAAATTTATCAGTCAATATATAAGTCAATTATTAGTCATATAAATCAATTTATCAGTCAATATAAGTCAATATTAATCAATATAAGTCAATTTATCAGTCAAATTCCTGTCATAAATCATAAAAAATTGAGAAATGGCAAAGAAAACCATTACTAAGTTATTTTAAATTAGTCTTTAACAATTAGCACGTTGGACAACGAAATGAAATATGGAATTATGAATTTATAAATTAAAAATTTTTTATAATAAAGATAACAAGAAAACGTAATATGTTCTTATAAATAATTATTGCGTTAAATAATTACATTATCTTTTTATAGTAAAAAAAAAAAAACCACCATTTGGCAAACTGGCAGTTCAAAGAAAATTCATCACCCATTATTCTCTACATGACTAAAGACGTTATAGTCACGCAGAGTAAAACTGATATTCGCGTAAATGGTTAACCTTGCATACGACGACCCTCGAAAGTAAGTATTTAGCTCGCGTTGGATAAAAGACAAGATAAAGTGCCGAAGAGTCTCTTTATCGTAGATAAATGCATCATTACTTTAGCAACTTTTGTAACCATTGTAATTCCGCAGTTCTGTGTTCAGATAATATTGATCAAATTTTACTCAAGAGTAATAGTTAAGCGTTTCTTTGTTTTAGTCCAATCTGTCAATATTAAGTGTTCCGATTCCGAAGTCAGAGGAAAATCAACTAGTTCATTTCCGTTTTGAACTGAAAATTTCAAAACTCACAACGTTGCACCTGCAGCGCGGATCGATAGATGTTGAACTCTGAAAAACTTATGTGAAAGACGTGCAGAAAATAGGTGTGGCAGAAATATATTTGTTCTTGTCTCGAATGCGAGAGAGAACGATCTGAAATATCGATCGTCCCACACGCAGGGAACGCGTGTTTACGCATGTTTACATTTCAGGGTGTTCGATGCGAGAACAGTTTCTCTCGGCTCTTAGCCGTCGGTGTGACCGTACAAACTATCGATCGCACGTGTATAATCAGTTAATTATTCTCGCGAGTATACCGCGTAGCAATGTAAACCGGAATTTTTTCATGAGAAAAACAATTAGTGACAATTTAACTAATTGCTCTCAGCAATATTTGTGAGCAACTACTCGCAAGTTTTGCGAATGAATTACTTCTACGGATTATTTCCTCGGACATGTAAGCACGCATTAAAAGAAATTAATTTTATATCAACTATAGCTTTGTACGGAATTTTACTTTAATATGTTGTTTGATATTTGAATTATAGATGGAAGGAACTGGTTTTGCCAAGTATACAAAAAACCTTTGCAACAGTAAGAGATTTCTATCCATATAATGTGATGAATATTATCGCAGACCAATTACTTCGATTGCGAATAATTCGTATAAAGAAATATAACTAAATGCGCACAAGCTATTGTTATAATTATCGTTCGAATTTTGTATTTTGATTTCAACGTTTCAAATGTATCGTTAATTACTTATATCGAGTGCGAACAATTCTGTATAATTAGGAAATATTAAATTTTGTACTATTTGTCATTATTGTTATTAGTCAAATTATGTTTTTAGTTTAATTTAACGGATTTATTGTACTGAAGAGGGTCAAATCTTGACCGAAACGTCTGCCTATTGTTATGTTTAAATAATAATATAGAACTTATTTACATCCTTAGTTGTGGCTGTATGCTCTTTATTTTTTAACCTTTAATAAATATTATTTATATTATATTTGGAAGAAAGATTAATTTTAGATTCTATTTATCGCACGCGCATAAGAACGTAAGAAAGATTAATTTCTATCGAATTTTTTGTTATTTTTGCGTTTCTTTGTTAATTCGTTTTCTCGTTGTTAAAATTTTCTCGTTGATTCCTTGTTCAATCAAATAAAATTATAAGTACATATTAATATTTATAATAATATTTATATAATTTTATGTAAGTAATATTTATCTGGAGACACAGTAGTGTCTCGGAATTAAGTCAAGCGCAGGAACACTACCGTGCCTCCTGTGTACGAGTTTGTGAGTTGTGTCGGATCAAGATTATCGGATTTCAATAACGGTTGTTCCGATTGAGTTTTAAGTAACTTAATATAATATACACAAATCGAGGGCTTTTTGGACAGCTCGAATGAAATTCTACTTTCGATAACAGAAATATCAACGGCGTTGATGACGAATCAGTAGAATTATATCAATGTCGTGACTTACGCGTACGTATGCGTCACAGTAGGTTCACAATGATAAATAGTGACAAAGCACGGTCTGTTATAGCCAGTGAGAATATGACTCAGAACGCAAATCGTTACTTTCGAGTCACGACACGATAGCTCTGTGGTCAAAATAAATATTGACGGCGTCATTAACGTCAATCGAATAGATTAAGGCAAAATTCATCTTAATTGAAGATTCAACACACTAATAACTGGCACGTGAACGTCAGAGAACTGTCTAATAAACGAGGAAACATTCCGAGAACAAATCGTTCGACGTATTCTATTGTTCAATTAATTCCATCGCAAAAAATTACTCGCAGCCGCGTTTCAACGTCCATTTTAATTTTTACAGTACAAACAATATTTTAACATTTCAGAAGCTTTTCTCTATAAACTTGTGCGTAGTGATAAAAATAAAATTGAATACGTTTCGAAAAATCAGATTCTTAGAAAATAAAAAATAATCATATAATAATTTGTTGGAGTAATCATTAATAAATTCGGACATTATTAATTTTTAATTTGGATATATCTGATCGCATGATTTTTCCTTCAGACTCGAATTATATTGTTTAAATCTGTTATACTTCAGTACATTCGTTCATCAAAAAGTTACGAAGACCATGAAGCTCGATGCTTAAAGTCAATATTCGTATATATCGCACGTCATTTGATTTCGCCGTAAATCAATTCTTCGTGTTCATAATAAATCTTCTCGATTGCTTTTATATCTGACATGAATTCTCGGACAATCAACCGAGTAACATTTAAACAGTCAGCACCATATCTTCATAACGAATAGAGTCCATCGTAGCCACAGATAAGTGATAATCAAATCATAATGTATTTTGCTGAGCTAATATTAATTCCTGTTATTGAATTATTATCCTGAATACTTCAGCCGTCGTCGCGACTAAATAATATTATGATTTTTTTTTTTCTTTGTTTTTCCAAAGCAAAATCCAATGGAATCCGACGACAGAGAGGGAAATTGTCCCGATTGTCCAGCGGACTGACATGTTCAAATGTGAATCGGCGGGGCATAGTAACTCCGGGAAAATCAATAAACTACGAATGTTATTTTAAGCCCGCTTTCACGATGGCACCACGCAGCTGAAAATCCGCACACAAAGTTCACGAGCCAGAAGATAAAATATCTGTCGATTGAAACGTCGAAGGATCTAATCACACTTTATATTCGTTGCAAATAAGAATTCTTCGCCAGGCGCGGTTTGTTAAGCTCGGATCGAATAGAAAGAATTCCGAGAAAGAATCGTGCGTGACGCGATTCTGGAATAAACGATTGAATTTTAGGTGAATGACATTTCAGGCGAGTTGAGTTCTACCGTCGAAGGACGGTATCCTTCGAATGTACATATGTATAGTCACAATTCGCATTCTAAACGCGTGACTGTATCAGGCGCAGCTCGCACGCGAAGAATTCTCACTGGAGAGAGACAAACTGATAGCCTGGTGTAATTCCTGTAATTTTGTTTTCAGTCAGAGATATATTTTTCGCATTGTTCATTCCGTTTTATCTTGCGCTTGTCTGCCATTGGTTATGAATGAACGACAAATATTCGCGAAACGAAAACATGTCTCTTTCTCAACTTGCAACCATCTCGATTTCGCTGGCCGAAATTCCATGCCGCACAGTGTTGCGTTTTTGAGTGGGATAATCAAGGCAACATGTGACACACTTTCAGGGTATATTCCTAGACTCGCCTTCTCGTTTTGA